TATATATATATATACATATATATATATGTATACCTAGAGTATGTTTAACTTTTCATTTAAAATTCGTGATGTGGGCCACAAATGCAGTGTAGACAGGCGGAAGTGAATCCACTATTGTCAAGTGAACACATGTTATTATTCTGTCATTATCATGTCCTCTGTCAAGGAGCTGAACACAGCTTCATTCAGGTCTGTCTGGAACACTACAAAGGTCCCGTTGCATGTCGGGTACAATATTCCTTAAGCGTCTAATGCGCATGCTCAACAGTAAAAACTCCATTATTTTTTGCTCGGAATTTGTGAGAAAAAAACCAGTGGGCAACTGTGAATTGGGGATTACATGGGCCGTTATGGTTGTGGGAATATACCTGAAAGCTCCACGGTTTAGCAGAAGAGAAAGCAAAGCAACGGCCGGATAGCTGCAGACCGGGAGCGGGACAGCCTTCAGTCTTGTCGGGACACTCCACAATCAAGTAAATTTCAGTCAGTTAGCTGACTGGCTAGCTAGCCTAGCTGGTTGCAGCGTTAGCTCCGAGATCCCAGGCGCAGTAAAATGAAGCGTTATTGCCCTTTGTTTTTAAGTCGGACTGGCAGACGTTGTATGAATGCTGAGAGCTGAATGCGCACACCGCTACGGGAATTGGATTACACAGTGACTTATTTTGCGCTCATTTATTAAAGTATCAGCCGTTTTCAAAACATTATCTGGCTAGCCCGTTTGCTAGCCAGCTAACTCTTGATTCTCCCGCGAGCCAGAAAAGCCAAGACTCCAAAACTTCGCCAACACAGAGCCTGACGCAGAGAAAAGGTTGGTAGGACCTGCTAATATTGACGTTAGCTAACGGATATCAATAAGTAAAGTGTGATGTAGGTATCCGATTTACAAGAGGTTTTTTCACAACGCGGTATTGTGCATGGGTCGTGTGTTGTTACTGCAGCTAACGGGCAAGAGTTTTGTATTGGAGTGTTTTGTGCGCCTGACAGCTGTCACGACAACACAGTACAAAGTAGGGTAGCTTGCTAGCTTAGCTGTTAGCCTGGACGCTAGCTGCCGTGTATGAGCCGTGTACTTTGTGGGATGTTTTTTTCATACTTTACGCTATTTATGATACAAAATTAAGAAAAAAAGGATACTTCAGTTCAGAGCTATATTAATTGCTCTTTCATGTGCCAGCGTGTTCGCTTCGGAGTTGGTTGTTGCAGCTGCATATACTGTCGCTAAACACTGAGTAAACTACGGGCCTAGGCAAACACACCCTTCTACTTCAAAGCAGCCAGAGCTTACTCTGAAGTTCTTCTGGGGAAGACTAATACATCTGATGTCGTCGTTTTTCAAACACGCTTAGATCATATCAGTTACAGAATAGGTTTGTTGCACGATGTTTTTACCGCGGGGGTCGCTGCCAGATTACATAATCCACCTCCACCTTTCTTTGCAGGCTCTCCACCTTCACCCACATCCCTACTCTGATGTGAACTGAACTAATAAATCTGCAGAAGTCATCCTTCAAGAGAGGGATCTGCCTCATAGCTGAAGAAAGTCGAGGTGTTTGGGCAAGTCAGGTTTTACTGGCAGTGTGCTTCTAACCCACCAGCATGTACACTGGACAGTGGATACTCTAGCCAAAACAGATCCTGGCTTCCCAAAGATGACAAGGTATGCAACTTTCTTTTTGTTTGTCTTGGTATTACTTTTACATTGATAATAAACCAAAAACCGTTCTTTTGCTGTGGCCACTCCCCCTTTTCAACATGTTTACATCACATTCATTCTCTAGGGGCTTGTATTATCTTCATCACAGACATAAGAAAAGAAACTGCTGGGTACTTTCCCAGAACTTTTCGACACACAGATGACAGCTAAAAAGTAAAGGAAATGATGCTGAATTAGTAGAGTGGAATTAATTTGCAGTGCTTCCCATGTTCATGCTGCTTACTTTAGTTCAGATCTTGGCTGATTTCATCACCATGCATAGGGTACATTTTGTAATGTTTGATATCCGAGATTGATATTTGATGTTGTGTAATAAGCTGAATGTGACCTCAACATTAAGCATGCAAGTTGCTTGAAATAAAACATTAATGATTGCAAAATCTTTACTGCAGAAAGATTCACTCATCTTTTGTGTGTTTACTTTTTTCAGTGACTCACTCAGGGTTAGTGAACTTCCCTGATACGTGCACAATATACAGTTAAATGAGGAAAGCTCTTTCAGAAGAGATGAGCAAAATTTATTGTAGCATAAGCATGAAAAATTGAACTATTTTTCTGGTTAGACTCCAACAAGTCCCAGATGAAAGGGTTGGGGATGAGTAAGCATCTGGTTCATAGAGGCTTTAGTATAGACACCCTTGACAACCCGTATAATGTAGAGATAGCAGGATGAGGGGGGAGGATAGATGGCTTGAAACCTAAAGTAGATGCTGAGACTAAACAACTGTTTCCCCCCTATAAGAGTATTTAGCATTGGATTTCTCTTTGTGTTTAAGTAAAGATGTGCAGTAGGGGATACCACAATGGTTAAAATTTTGTTAGCAGCACAGTCCCTGGGTCCACTCTCGACAGGCTGAACTGTTACTACATGATACCTTCATGTTACCCCCCTCCTTATGTTAAAAGACAAGATGTGTTAACACTTCCTGCTTTTCAAGGTGCTGGCAGGCTACAAAATGATGGGAGGCAGTGATACTGTCAGTGGGGACAAGGATGGGGTCCACACCACTGCAATACACGTCCCCATCGGCTGGCAGAGGAGAGTGGAAGGAGGGCAGGTACTCTATGTCAGGTACGTTGGTTCCACACACATGAACTTGCTGATTTTTAATAGTTGGGCAACAGGTTTTGAAAGCACGCCACTGAATAATTGTTACATAATGTATTCTTGAAAAATGACAGTACTGGTTTTGCAAACATATTTTGGGGGATGTTACCTGGCAGGATGACTGCGGTTTTGGATTAGTTTTTTTGAAGTTTGTTTCTAGCTATAGACAACAAAGAAGACAAGAAAATGTTTTATGCACTTTTAGGCAGTGCAAAGTGAGTAAAATTAAATGTGTTAATTATAATGTTCTATTTATTCTGGTGAGCACTTATTCTGGTTCTATTTATTCTTATTCTGGTGGTTTTTAAATACTTGTGTTTTCAAGCATACTAGGTCTTAGTGGGGGCTCAAAAGCAAGTGACAGATTTAGGCTTTTTATATATATTATGTTGTTTCTACCAAAGAGAAACATACTTTTTTCTTTGTTATCAGTCGTTCATCCTGAAGATCACCTAAAGACTTCTTAGATTTACTGCAGTTGTGCTCCACTCCACACTTGCCCTCTTCTTTTGCTGTGAAAGGATTCCCTTTGCCTTAAAATACTGGGCAGCTGAGGCAGAGAAAAAAGTATTTCCATTTGGATAACAATATTTTTGTTGAGCAGTGGTTTGGATCATGCTTGAATTTAGACATAAAATGTGACATTGTAAATATGAAATTTTGTATTACTCATTATTAGCCACTGAGTTGGACAGAAACTTGGCTGAAATTAACTGTTCATTTTTTTTTTTTTTTTAAACTGTTCATTTTAATGTTAGCCATAACCTGCATTACTAACTAGTAACCTATCTAATGCCAGACACCCCAGCCCTGGAGCAAGACTCTGAAACTTTGCTTTTTGTTAGATATACCCTGATTGAGACTTAACGCTTCACAGGAGGTTGTGCTATATGTTGCCAATTCTCCATGGAATATTTTTTAATTATTGGGCCAGTTTGTGCATTTTACAGGTGTAGAAGCACCACAGGAGTGGATTTGTGTCCTTCAGACTCTCGTATGGGTCAGCAGTGTTTGCAAATGACACTAGTGGTTTCTCTCATTGAACTGGATTGAATCAAACCTTTTTTCATAATTATCTTCTGCACATTTGTACAGTCAGCAGGGAAACTTTTACTCATTGACTGGGAGTCTCAAGCATGTAGCTCTCTTGCCCTTCTCCATTAGCTCCCCATGGCTCTAACCAGGAAAAAAAACACAAACTGCATGAATGTTATGATGGAATTGAAAAATGCACAAGTAGTTTATGTTTATCAGCTGAGACCTTACTCCTAGTTTTGCTGAACCTCACTACCAGTGGCTAGTATGGATGTAGACCCATAAATGGCTGGTCTCCCATAAGTTGTTCATGAATGACTTTGTTGATATTAAAGGTTGGCAAACGCATTCCTAGAATGAACAGTATACATGTCTCTGCTCTGAGAGCTGCAGCTTTAGCTTGAGCTCAAATTGATTTGGCTCAGTTGCACCATAATGCTGCCTACAAATGATTCTTGAAAGGAAAAATTCCTTCTGTGGCTGCTATGCCTTGCGATTATGTGTCACGCTCAATTTTCTTCTGGCCTTGAACAACTCCTGTCATACATCATTGTCCACCCCTTTACACCCTACGCATAGTTGCATTTTTCTGACATTTTGCACTGGCTGGTGTTAGGTTCAGAGCCAGGGCAGAGTTTGTGCTTTAACTGTGTCTCATTTGTTACAGTTTCTCTCTGCCTTCTTCCTGTAGTCCCAGTGGCACAACCCTGTCCAATCTGGAAGAGGTCAAGACCTATCTGATGACTGATGGCACCTGCAAATGTGGCCTCGAGTGTCCTCTCATCATCAACAAGGTGTTGTCAGTCTGTCAGTTTGTTTGTGCTGTTGATTTGTGTGTTTCTAGTAAGGTTTGGCAATACACAACAGAGTTTTAGATTCAGTAAGCTCTGTGGTGTTAATCTCACTCTCATTCTTGTGTCACAAATATACTTGTGGATCACAGCTAAGCAGCTGTTGTACATTTTTCCTAGTCGGCATGGAGAATACTTATAGGAAGCATGTCTAGTTAGACTTGTCTGTTCAAGTAGTCACAACAAATTGATTGGGACACAGATGTCTGCACAGGGTCTCGCTTTCACCCTCTGATAACAAAATTTACGTCATCCTGACCAAAACAGAACCTCACATACTTAAGAGAAGCAAAAACTACTGTGTAACAGTTACATAAAAGTACAGAGAAAATCTATTTACATATTCTCCATAAAGTTTTGTCTGAATTTGTTCTAATCCTCCTTTTTGCTGTTGTGCAGGTTTTCAACTTCACAGTGGGTGTGAAGGTGGAACAGCACAGCCAGCCACTGGGCAAAGCAGAGCAGGACATGACCAAACTCTGTAATCATCGCAGGAAAGTGGTGGCAATGGCTGCCCTGTGTCGGAGTATGCAGGCTTCACAGCTGCCCTTTGCCAGCTTTCATCATCCAGGTAACCAAGGTGAGCAATGACATGCAGTAGGTTTGAGACATGGTACTCATTTATCAGTTTGCTCTTAGATAATATCTAATAAAAAAACATAAACATTTGAGTGATACTTTTTTCTTAATTTCTACATATTTCCTTAAAAAGAAAAGCTGAAAATCAGAAAATGCTGGGTTTTAATTTTTCTTTGAATAAAGTTTCTATGGACGATGTTGACAGGTTCCCCTCACAGCCTTTAATGTTGACAGTGTTGTGTGCACGGCAGTAACATCAGGTAAAGGACTTTGCACACATTTCTACATGAGAATACATGATAAGTATTACCATGATCGTAGAACCAATTAAAGATGAAATTTCATTTATGAAATTAAGAGGCTGTTATTAATAAAGTGTCTTCAAGTCAGCCTTCAAATCCAGTTCCTTCTAGCTCACCATTCTACTCTCTTGCACTCTGTTTCGATTAGTAGAATATCAGAGAAACTCTAACAGAATCCACAATGTTTCGATGCAATTTATTACACTTTAAGCCACAGACTTACACACATAATTTTGCATCCATATTATCGATCACATGTGTTTGACTGTGAGATGCATGTGGGAGTGGATTTGACCATCTGCATGAGTAGCCAGTGACTGCCGGAAATCCTGTGGGAGCTGGTGGGTGTAGTTTGAAAGGAAATTTGTTTCTTGTAGATCTGCATTTGTGTTGTTGAATGCAGCAGCTGTCAGCCACACAGAATTCAAACTGCTGTAGTATTGATGTCCTTTCACCCTAAGAACAGAAGAGATTTTGGAAAATGAAGATTTCCAGTTCTGGCGTGCTTTGTTTCCTCGAGTTTATTGTATCTTATTTCCACCCAAAAACTGTTTGTATTTTGGTAAAAATCAGTGTTGAGACACAACTCTCTTCAATTCTGTTAAAAATTTGGGTAAAATAGGAATTATTTGAATGGGTAGAGCTGCTCTGACTCAAGTCATGTGAACTGGATATTTTAGTATGGTGTTATTAGTGTTACAACTCCTTGTATACACGACAAGTTGGAGAGCCACATGGGGTGGTGAGGAGCAACTGTTGAACCAGGCCTTTCCTATGCACTCTGTGCAGTTATATTCCTTCATTAATGCACATCTGTGCATAATTCTCTCATTTTGTTTGGTTAGATAACTGCTCGCTTTTCTCTAGATTATTATTAATTTGATGAGTTCCTGCCCCAAGTGGAGGAGTTCAAGTATCTCGGGGTCTTGTTCGCGAGTGATGGGAGAAGGGAGCCGGAGATCGACAGACGGATTGGGGCTGCAGCTGCAGTAATGCGGACGCTGCACCGGTCCGTCGTGGTGAAGAGGGAGCTGAGTGTAAAAGCGAAGCTCTCAATTTACCGGTCGATCTACGTCCCTACCCTCACCTATGGCCACGAGCTGTGGGTAGTGACCGAAAGAACGAGATCGCGGATACAAGCGGCAGAAATGAGCTTCCTCCGAAGGGTGGCTGGCCTCTCCCTTAGAGATAGGGTGAGAAGTTCGGCCATCCGGGAGGGGCTCAGAGTAGAGCAGCTGCTGCTCCACATCGAAAGGAGCCAGCTGAGGTGGTTCGGGCATCTGACAAGGATGCCCCCTGGGCGCCTCCTGGGTGAGGTGTTCCAGGCATGTCCCACTGGGAGGAGGCCCCGGGGCAGACCCAGGACACGCTGGAGAGATTATATCTCTCGGCTGGCCTGGGAACGCCTTGGTATTCCCCCGGATAAGCTGGAGGAGGTGGCTGGGGAGAGGGAGGTCTGGGCCTCTTTGCTTAGGCTGCTGCCCCCGCGACCCGGCCCCGGACAAAGCGGATGAAAATGGATGGATGGATGGATGGATATTATTAATTTTAATTGGTTTTGGGATATTTTTGTATTGCATAGCTTGGCCTCCATTCCGATTATTCAGCAACCATTGGATAACAAAAGTAAAATGTTCTTTTGCACATATTAGTTATAATTTCAATGTTTGATTTTTAGAAAAAAACAAATTTCACACCATTTACCTCAATTACTAAAAATTGGTTGTTTAAATGCTTCTTACAGCCTTTAACAACAAATGTATCGAAAAACCTAAATAAATCTCACAATACTTTTTTAAGCAATTAAATTGCACAAAATTGACAGATGTAAAAAATTTACGAATTAAAAGTGATGCAAATTTATATATATATATTTTTTGTCAGACTGTTCAATAAACATTCCTTAAAAAAGAATTTTCTGGCAATTATATCACAGTTCAGACATTAAAGAGACAAGAAATTATGCCAGACTTGTCTTTCACAATAATTACTCTGTAAACCATTTAGTGGTCTCGGGAAAATTGAGTAACAAGCTGTATTTTTTGTTCCCACTTCCAGAGATGAGCAATCGGGTGGACGGTCGTGATACAAAGGGCGAATCCACAGAGCGTGAAGAAGAGGACCGTGGCATTTTCTGTCCCAAACTCCATCCAGTCCCAGCTCGACCCCAGAACAACCTTCACCCAAACCCCTGCACCAGTCCTAAATCCTCTCACCATTTTATTTATCCTTACAATGGCTCCTCCTCTGTCCTTCACCCAGCCACAAATTCTCACTATCCACTAGATGCCTTGAGAAGACTTCACCATCCTGCTTTCTCAGCATCCTCCAGTTCTTCCTCCAGCTCATTTCCAGCGTACAGCACCCCCCAGAGGTCACCCTGTACTCCCACTCCTCAAAGCAAAAGTCAAAGTCAAAGAACACCTAAAACCCCAGAGACTCCTGTTTCTCCTCGGCTAGGACCCCTCTCTTCACCTCCCCCCTCGTCCCCTGTTACCCTTGGTGGAGGAGGAAGAGGAACACAGACTCACCCTCATCATCCTCATGTTGTAATTGTGGGAGGTTCTACCCCACCCTCCCTCTCTCCCTCTGTCCATAACATGTCTATGTCTCCACACCAGCGCTCCTGCCACCCATCAGCTTCTCCATCCTCTCTGTCTGAGCAGGGAGGAGGCTTACCAGCAGCAGGAGGAACGCTGATGGGAAATAACTTGCCTCAGAGAAGGAAATCCACCTCTTCCTCTCCACACTCCCCACTTCCCAGTGGCTCTCCAAACCCCAGCCCCCAGCTTCCCAAATACAAGCTGGAAGACATCTTGGAGCAGTTCAAGAACTCAGGCAATAGCAGCACTAATAATCACCACCTCCTAAACCCTAATAATCCCTCCTTACTGACCAACCAAAGCAGTAGTAACCCTCATGGTCTTTCCTCAAAGTCCTCAAAGACTCCAACCTCCACTGCAGGATCACAAGTGTTTGGGTTGAACTCTGCAGGGCCCTCTAGTTTACCTCTGGGGCCATATCTGAACCACCACCATAGCCATCAGGGCAAGCTGCCACATCCAGCTTCTTTCCCTGCGAGTAGCCTCCTCTCTGCAGCTGCCAAGGCTCAGTTGGCTAACCAGATAACCCAGGGCCACAGGTCAAATGTGGCCAGCAATGCAGTGAGCTTGGCCTCTTCTCTGGAGGTCCTGAAAGAGGCACAGCAGCAACAGGCATCAAAGGTAACAAACAGCACTTTACATAACAGCCACTCTCCCTCCTCCATTGCTTCTTCTAGGCTTCCCCATCCCTCCCTTGCAGCAGCCTCCACTGTTTTCTTTCCTCCATCCCACTCTCTGGTCCAGTCCCTGGCTTCCTCCTCGTCCCATCTGCCACAATCAGCAGAGCGTAACACATCGTATAGGAAGCGGCAGCGTCGATCTCCCACAGTCCTCAGCATGCTAACAGACACCAAGCAGCTCTGTAATGGGCTGCGGAAGACCCCACCAGAAGATGCTGTTTCTGCTACAGTTATCAATCTTTCCTCCTCGTCCACTTCATTCCCCTCCTCCTCCTTGCATTCTTCCTCTACCTCAGCTGTGCAGAATCAGAATGCCATCATGTTGGATAACCATCATCAACTCCTCTCTGGGCAGATGCCCAGGTTCCCTGCTCCTCGACAGACGGCACAGCTTTCCAGGCCTCTGCGCCCAAATGAGGCCCTGGACTTCACTACAGGACCGACACCCACAGCCACCCCTCTTGGCTTGGATCCTCCAACCCAGCCTTTGTCTGCCCTGTTACACCTGCTCAGTTTGCAGAATGCGCAGGCCACAGTCTCAGCATCCAGCTCTGTCTTAGCTCAGTCTGGATCTGTGTCTGTTGAAGGAGGTGGACACACTAATAAACAGAGCCCCAAGCAGTCACCTTCATCTCCAACCCATCAGTCTAATGTCAGGGACTCGTCGACTCGGTCACCTTGCCGAACAGATAACACTAATTCTCCCCCGTTGAGTCCACAGCCACTGTCTCCTCCTCCCCCCTCCTCTCAGTTCACATCAGCGCAGTCTCATCTTCATCGTCAGTCCACTAAGTCAACTCCTCTTCAAAAAGATTCTTCGTGCACAGTGTTACCAAACTCAGATTTCCACAACAGCAGCAGCCCATCTCAGCAGACACCCCCATCTCCCTTTGGCAAGCATCAACGAACCGATAATCACATTCCTTCAGTAGATCCTGCTTCCCATTCATCTTTACAGGTTGCCTCACCTCAGGGCACTGTCACAAGAGAGATTATTAGTAAGAACGAACCTACGTCAGTGGACCTTAGTCATCCTCAAGGCAGTGTTCCTGTAGGGGTATCCACTTCCCCAAAGCCTCTAGATCTTAGCAACCACGTCCTGGCCATTCTCGCAGCATCTTCTAATGTTCCCCAAGGGGAGGGCAACTCTTCCAGCCATACCTCTGATGTTGAGACGTCTTCCCCAGGAAATCAAACTGCAGGTGAGGATGTTATTCATGGTTTTAGTTTTACAAGTACAGCCTAAACTTGTAATTTTTATTGAATTAATTTGGTTGTCTACCCATATAGACATCAGCTTTGTTTTTGTCATTCTTATTTTTAATGTGAGTTGTATTTGTAGCTGAATTCCCCCTTTAAATGGGCTTTACAGATTATTCTACACAAGATAATAAATACACAAATAAGGGAGCATCACAGTAAAACATGCCGGTTAAACTTCAGGAATATCAATCTGTCCAGTTAAGAAGTGGCAACCATTGTGAAAAGAAAATGGCACCAGTGGCAGGTCTGCCAGTTGTCGTGTTCTCTGGTGGTCCTGCTAAAGGATGGTAGGGACCTCATGCTTCTAGAGTCTCTTTCTGACAGTCTGTGGGGCACTGGACTTGGTCCTTTTGTTCCTCCATTGGTTTATGCTGTCTAACTGGAGAGATTGATATCCCTAAATTTTAACTGCTTGGTTATACTGTGATAAACAAATGGTTCCTTATTTTTTTGAGCAATATATGTCAAGAACAAGGGGTGCATTTTTTTTTTCTTGTTGCTCTGAATCAGAGTGATAACTGATATAACTGATGCATACCATCCAGCACGAGATCCATATAAAAATGTGTTGAATGATCACTTTAACCAGATTTAAATAATAGTTGTTTTTCCCACAGGAACGGAGGAGTCTGAATTTGGGGACCCAAAGATCTCCACATTGACCAAACCTCCAGCCACCAGTCCCGGGCTCACTAGCTCCTCTCGTCAAGGAGAGAATCACAGTCCTCCTAACCCTTCAGCTGTAGGTGACTCAGCCACTCCTTTAAGTCTGGCAGAGGCCTTTCCCTTCATGAACCAAGAGCAGCTGCTCCAGCTGCTGTCGTCTACAGGAGGAGTACCATCTGTCCTGGACCCCACAGTCCTGGCTTCATTGCCCCTAGGGGGCCTTTGGTTGGGAGGACAACATGCACAAGTACCTCCTGCCAGTGTTGCACCGCAGCCACCACATAATCTGTCAGACCAGCAGTCAGAGCAGCAACAGCAGCAGTTACTGATAACACAGCAAGAAGATGCACAGCAGCAACACCAAGACCAACAACAAAAGCAACTGCAGATTAACAACAATCATCTGTTTCCCTTGTTGCCCCTGTTGAGTGGTGCCCAAGGGGAGTTCCCTCTGAACCTTTTAGGGCTGCTGAATCCACTTCCAGCCCCAGCGTCAGCCCCTTCTGCAGTGCAGGAGGCTGATTTGACAGAAAAACCCAACCTTCATGCTCTGCTAATGGCCTCCTTGTTGCAACAGCAGGCTTCCTTGTTACCTCTATCTGCGCTGGGTCAGTTGAGCCAGGTCAGCTTGGAAGTTCCTATTCAGCAGTCACAGCAGATCTCTACTACATTAGAGGGCCTCAGTCTGGATAAGACCTCTGGCCTGCTGGACCCATCAACCCTAACTGGGCCAGGGCTCTTGGAGGTCACTCAGGGCCTCCTTCCTATTCCTGCAGGAGCTGAAGGCTCTATCCAAGCCCTTCAGTCTCTACTCATTCCCGCCACTCTTCCTCCTCCCTCTGCAGCCTTCCTGCCCCTCAGCCCTGCCTTGCTCACTGCTGCCCTGAGCTCTGCTGAGCTCCACCCGCCTCCCAATACCCAATTAGCTCCTGCACAGCAAACCCAACATACCCAACCTCAGGTACGCTCCCGATTTCCTATAGCTCTTTCCTCTGAGGTCATCCTAGTTTCCCTTGGAAAAACTAAACTCATTTCCTTAACTCCTCCATTGTTTTTTACTGTATTAGTTTCCCAAATTTCTTTCCTTTTTTGCTACCCTGCTTTATAATAAAACCCTCACACTTTACAATTGGTTTTGGTTACTGTTTTAATGTACCCATTGGCATGTGGCATGAATGGATAGTTTTTCATCCTGTTTATAGTTCAAATATATGAACATAGAAAAAACACTCAACAGTAACTAAAAGAAGAAACGCAATAATGATGATGATAATGTGTGAGGAGTGGGAGGTGTTCCTTTCAGCCTTTGCAAAAATGCAATGTGTGCATTCTCCAAAACTTTTTTTGTTTAGTTTTTTTTTTTATACTGAAATACTAAGTTAATATATGTGAAGAATTTATGTCTCCTGGTTTTTTCAGCCATACTTTATTTATTTTATAATTCATTGTCTGAAACCCCCAAACCTTTATATTCACTTCAGGTACCCACAGATGCTGGTGTTGACACGCTCATACCCGTATCTCTTCAAAGCAAGGACAACCCCATCCTCCAACAGTTACTCCCCACTTTGCTGAACTCTGCTATATTAGGTGAGTTCGCACACACCCTGTGTTATATGTCTTTCTCATTGTTTTAGGAATAAATATTATTTGCCTTTCAGTGTTAAACTTTAAACTCTGCAGGGACTCTATTGCAGTATTTTTTATACACTGTGTATTAGTGTATTTTTTGCTTTATAGGAGATCTTCCTGGCCTCACAGGCCTCCATAACATTGTGGGGATTGGAGCAGGTTCCATTCTTCTACCACCAGTCCAGGCCTCTGCTTTGGGGATGCCACTGCTACAGGGCCATGATGGAGCAATCAACTTACTCAACAACATACAGGTACATACCTAGCATGAAGTCTGGAGAACACAGCATTTTTATCCTTTCTTTACTGTACATACTAGTGTTAAGGATTTGCTGTTTTCCATAATAACCTTCCTCTGGCTGCAAACACCATGTTGCATTTGTTAAGAAAATCCCAAGTGGGTGAATGTGAATGCATATGTGCGGCACAAAATAATGTGCCACAATTTGAGAAATGGTGTTTCCTAGATTCACTAAAAAATGTTGTTTTTTTTTCTTTTCTTCAGTGAACTATGGTGTCCAAAAAGTTAAGACACTAACTTTTCTCTGGGAATAGCTGTAATGTTTCAGTTATAGCAGCTGCAGATTATATCCGCTGCAACATCTGTGTCATAAGGCTTCACATTTGAGTTCTTCTCATATTGCATCAATACTTTACAGATGTTATCATTTATTTTAAAAAAGCCCTGTTGTGTTTTGATCTGGAAGCGTGTAAGAATTGTTTTTTTGGGGGGGGTTTGTAAGTGAAAATTAAATCCACGCTCAGACAAGTGTTACATTGCACTGAATGAATTCAGTATCATCAGAAAGATTTAGATTTGTTTTCCTCCTGGATGCTTTAAGGAAATATAAAGACAATCTAAAGTTGAATGTTCATATATAAATGGAGGATTATATAATTTTAGGCAATTTTGCAACAAAGAGAAAACACATTTTTAATTCTCTAATACTTTCTGGATCTTTGAAAGTTACTTAACATATCTTTTTCTTTTTGCTCCTCTAGCTGAACCTTGCTCCAGCCTCAGAGGGAGAGAAGCCAGTATCCTTGCAGGAAGTGCAAAGCCCTGCCCCACAGGAAGACATACCAGCCAGTCAAATCACTCCTGAAGTGATCCCAAGTCCTGTTCCAGCTCTAGCTCCAGCTCCTGCCCAAGAATCCACTCCAGCCTCTCAGCGAGGATCTGAGGGCAGATCTGTCATTGATCCTTATACTTCTTTTATGGACACGATTTATACCTCTTTTCTTCAAGTCAGTGCTAAAGAGCAGGAAGATGGGGCCCATTTGGGGCCATCTGACCCCACTTCACCCTTCTGTGCCTTACCTCCAGTTTCTTTTCCTGTGGAGCACCATACACCGTCCACAACTGTCCCAACTCTGCCACAGGCAAGTGCCCCAGTTTCCCTTAGCCCACGGCGGGCTTGTTCCCTACGCAACCCAGACTTATCCCGACTTAGTCTGGAAGCAGCAGCCCATTCTCCAGCCCAAGGGACACCCAAACCCACTGAAGATGGGTCTGTGTCCCCCTTACAAAGGAAACCAGTTATGGTAGAGGGACATACTCACCCAGAACCTCCTCTTCCACCTATATACTTGGAGGAGGCCAAGACAGACTGTGCTGGGCCTGCTGCATCTATGTGCCCTTATGTAGATCCAGGTGTGGATAGGCAGGGGCATCTTCCCCAAGTAGGGTATCTCAGTCCTGGGGATGGATGCAATAGTAGGCCCACTGAAGAGACAACTGGGACATTGCTGCACTCTGAACAGGGAATGGTGAGTGCCCAAGTCTTCTGTTTCCTTTATACTCAAAGGCAAAAATGTTTTTGCTTCTTTTAGACACCAGAATGTGGACTTTAACAATGGTTGGTTATAGGCTTTTGATGAGTTTAAGTAGCTGAAATGTAAAACAATGATGCATGATTTAATCATAATAACCTTGTAACATGATTTCTGGTTACACAAAGGACCAAGCAGGAGCAGCGGCTGGAGCCAGAAGAGGAAGGAAAAGGAAACAAACGTAAGACTCCTTTTAAGATGGTTAATTTCTCAGTTGTACTCGATACAGAAAGTTGCCTGGATAATTCAATTTCCAGTAAAAATCAGAGTGTCTCCCACATGCAGTTCTATAATAACTGTCCTGTCAGGTGTATTTGGCATACTGTAGTGCATACTAATGCGTTTCTTACTTTATCAGGCTTCAGAATGTGTTAGAAGACTTCAGAGACGTGGATGCTACAGCACTAGAGGAAACCAAGGCTACAGTAAGACTTGTCTCCCTCTCGATGACTTATGGATTTATTGTTCTTTAGCAGAAGGGCTGGTTGTTGTTTACCTCTCACCAGTTCTATTCAAATGTTCTTAGTCAGACTCTTTGCAGTCTTAAAGAAGGCCCTTGTTTTCCCCCAGCTGTTGGTATTTGCTGTTGTTACTTTTCCACAGTTTGGCATGTTTTAAATGACTATATGTGACTTGCATGTTAACACACTTTGAGGTTAACATGCATGGCTTCTGGTGAAAATCCATCAACAGCTGTTGAGTTGGCAGCACTGACACATGTACTTGTTAAAACAGTCTGTAGGGAAACCTGAAACCGGGTAACAAGTGGGTCCAGAGGCCTAATCAGACCCAAGTATCAACAAGGTGTTATATTTTTATTTCTTCTCTGAGTACTGCAGAAACAAAGTAATAGATTTCCTGTTTATTGATCCTATCTTAGACATTTGATCTCACAAACTGATCTCCACGAACATTAAGTCATTTACTTTGAAGTGAGATTTGACTTCAATAGAGTTGATGGTAACAGTGCTCGTTGCCAAACATCATTTGTATGTAAGGCTGGAAACACAAACAATCTTTCGACACCTCGAATAAAACTTAATCATACACTATATCTTTTCTTGCCTAAAGTCTGTATACTGTGGAATAGGCACTCAAAACCACACAGAAGAAATGGCATAAAAGTAAATCATGTATTCAGTTTTGTTTTGTTAGGTAAAGAATGGAAGAGAGGCACTATAATATGAGTGAATACAAAATGTAATAAAGTAAAACTATATAATGAGTAAAGAACCATTGATCGATAAGCATTCATCACAGAGTCATGGTACCCAGGGTTGTTCGATATAACGATATATCGGATGACAATATGAAAATCTTTCATATTACGCTATTGTTTGTTTCGTGGTGTCGCAAAATAAGCTGTTTATGACAATGTTTTTTCATCGTTTTGATAGTCACTGTAGTGGCTATATTAATTTCATCAAATGCTCTCTTTCTCTTATATTTAATATAACCACACTACGGACAGACAGGCAACTGTTTTTATGCGTTGTTGTTGTTAGCAACAACAATGGTAAAACCATCGCGTGGCTCCGCCGTCCGCTTGTTTATTTTCCACATAAACCTTTCACAATAAAGCTCAAGATCCTGTTGAGACGTTTCAATATAAAGTGAATCATGTGAAAGAGTATGCAAAGTGTTTATGGATGAGAAGCAACAAAGAGCCGTCAGGTGCTAAAAAATAAACCTTAGACTCAAACGTTAGAACAGGCTTTTCCCCGCAGCACGCTGTGTAATAAATACTCACAAAGAAAATGGCGGCCGTTAGAACTTATGTCTAAAAATGTATAGATTCATGCATTGGTTCAAACATTTGACTCCAGGTACATGATGCCCAGCTAAAAACACTTTACGTAAGTCGAGCTGCCCGAGATTCACAGACTTTGCAGAAAATTTTTACATTTTTGTGATTTATATCGTTGTCGGAACAATAGATGTGTTAAATCGGGATATGAGATTTTGGTCATATCACACAGACCTAATGGTACCGTTAAAATCCTTTGACTCCTCTCAAAGCTGCTAGCATGGGTGTAAAGAACAATGAAGCTAATATAATGCTATTTGACATCTTCATAGCATCAGATAGGTGGTGTGCAGTGAATCGAAGTATTTTAATTTTTTCATCCTTGAAGTGTAGAAATACCACATTAATGACAATGCGGCACAAGAAATGCCACTAACAACCAGCATTTAAGAAAAATATTCAGCACTCTGGTGTTAGGGCCTTTCAATGATATCACATTATGTCATATAATATCAGATAATATAATGTCAAGACATGAGGGGGGCTTGGGTTGTGCAAGCTTGCTGTGCAGGATTCAGTGTAAAGGATTTGCTGAAGGGAGCAGTTTCTGTTTGGTGCTGTGAGTCCTCTCAATGATTGTGCAGTTCTGACTGCAGTGCAAAGTCATTCCACCACTGGCAGCTGCAAAGATATGAGCCTGATGTGACTCTTCTCTCACACTCTCTCTCGTTCCAGACAGCACTGCTGAAGCCTGAGAGGTCAGTGCGCGGCAGGCGGCGACGAGGCGCCAGGTCTCAAAGGCAGTGATTGGTGGAGGGTGCCATCATTCAGAGCTGTTCACCAATGAAAGGCAACCAGATGCCTCTGTATACCCCTCCATCTCTCCAACCTCATCACTACTGTTTTAGACCTTAAAAAGAAAAAAATCAACTGCACTAATATGATGCTGTCATGTCAACCATTGTTATGGCAACCACTATGAACAGATAGGAGAAAGATCTAGTCTGAGTTTATTTCAAAAGGTGAAAAACATGAAGAGAGATTTTGTGGATACTTTTTTCACTTGTGTTTTCTCTTAGGTCACAAAATAATGGTTGCGTTACATTGTGAACAATGATCTGTCAATTAGGTTTGTGTTAGAATTATATTAATGAGAAAACATGAAAATAACAAACGAGTAATGTTTTCTTCTCATCAGTGTGTTACTGTGAGTCAGGACGAAGCCCATCTACTTGAACGATGCTCTCTGTTGAAAGTGTGCTCTCTGTTGAAAGTGTGTGTGTGTGTGTGTGTGTGTGTGTGTGTGTGTGTGTGTGTGTGTGTG